CTCGCACATCTGTTTAACGTCTGCGCTGGCAGCGCCGCCAGCGGCACCGAGTGCGCCCTGTCACAGAACTGGGGCAGCACAAGCGGGATTTAGTCAAGTGAAAAGGAGCCAAGCAGAAGGCTGGGGAGCGCGATGCGCGAGCGGGGGCTGTCCGGTTCCTCGCCAGGAACCGGCGGGATCTTTCCGCGCGTCGTTACAGCCCGGGGAACCGCTGATACCGCGTCGCCCAGCTACCGCATCCGTCTGCGTTCTGCTTTAAGAGACTAAGGGAACCCTCACGGACTCCCGCTGTGCTGCTTGGAAACCCCCTGGCCCCTTCCCATCTGGATTGGAATATCAAGGATTCTAATCAGTAAAATTAAGTAGAATTAACCAATGATTGCTATAGGATAAGGATACTGGTAAAGTAATATAGCAACAAAATCAATCACTTTAAAGGTCATATTTAAGAGCAAGAATAATATGCAATTTTATGTAAAAGAACTTCTGTAATGATGATTTGACAAAATCAGTGTATAAAACCCACTGGATTTGGATGCTGGGGTGGACTCGCTTGGATGAAGCAATCCCTTGTGTGCCCAGCACTGAAATAAAGCCGTGCCCGTTTATCTACCTTGTGTAGGCGAATTTTCTTCCCAGCTGGTAACACCCTCAGCATGTTTGCTGACAACTTCAAGCTGTGTCGTGTTGTGGACACGCTGGAGGGAAGGGATGCCATCCGGAGGCTGAAGAGGTGGGACTGTGCGAACCTCATGCAGTTCAACAAGGCCAAGTGCAAGGTCCTGCACGTAGGTCAGGGCAATCGCAAGCACAAGGACAGGCTGGGCAGAGAATGGATGGAGAGCAGCACGGAGGAGAAGGACTTGGGGGTGTTGGGTGATGAGAAGCTCAACATGAGCTGGCACCATGTGCTGGCAGCCTAGAAAGCCAACCGTGTCCTGGGCTACTCCCAGAGCAGCGTGGGCAGCAGGGCGAGGGAGGGGATTCTGCCCCTCTGCTCTGCTCTCCTGAGACCCCCCTGCAGTGCTGCCTTCAGCTCTGGAATCTCCGGCACAAGAAGGACATGGAGCTGTTGGAGCGGGGCCAGAGGAGGCCATGGAGATGATCCAAGGGCTGGAGCACCTCTGCTCTGGAGACAGGCTGAGAGAGTTGGGGCTGTTCAGCCTGGAGAAGAGAAGGCTCCGGGGAGACCTTCCAGCACCTCCCAGTACCTAAAGGGGCTACAGGAAAGCTGGAGAGGGACTTTGGACACGGGCGTGTAGTGACAGGACACGGGGCAACGGCTTTAAACTGAAAGAGGGGAGATTTAGATTAGATACAAGGAAGAAATTCTTCCCTCTGAGGGTGGTGAGGCACTGGCACAGGTTGCCCAGAGAAGCTGTGGCTGCCCCATCCCTGGAAGTGTTCCAGGCCAGGTTGGATGGGGCTTGGAGCAACCTGGTGTAGTGGAGGGTGTCCCTGCCCATGGCAGGGGGGTTGGAACTGGATGATCTTGAAGGTCCCTTCCAAACCAAACCATTCTGTGATTCTATGAGTCTGTGGTGTCTGATGCTCAAGTTTGCCTGCTTGCTGTCCCTGGCAGCTACAGCATAGTTTGCTTGCCTCTAGCATGGTGAATTCTTTTTGCTAAAAAACAGGACAGAAACATTTCCTTGGGAAAGGGATGGTGTTTCAAGAGCTGCCCCAGGAGGGAAACCTCTCACACATTTGGTTTCCCTCAAGATGTCAGCTGGGGACGTGCTACGTGAAGGGCAGCAGCAGGAGCTGGCCCTGGCCCACGAGGAGACTAATGAATGCTGGCCCAGTAACGACTCTTCAGGTGTCACAAGGGAATGGGACCGCTGTGGCACCAAGTGCTAGGACAGGCTTCCAGAGGGGTCATTTAGCTGCATTAACTAATTAATGATTGCTTTGTTCTTTGAACTCATATCTGGGATTCCTGCATTCTTTCTTCAGGACCCACTGGTCTGATATTCTCTCCTGGGACGGAACTAGAGGCTCAGCGACTCGGTGACCCTCTGAGCCCTGCCACACAGGTTTTACCGACGGCTGCTCCACAGAGCCCTCAGCATCGCCCTGCCGCAAGACAGGGTCAGACCTCAGGAGCTGACAGTGCCAGGTGCCACCGGGGAAGGGTTGGATCCTGGCGGCTGGATGTAGAGCAGTGTCCCTCCACTGTGGCGTATGAAGCACACGGACTCTGCAAATGCCAGGGATCGAATCTAAGTTTATTTTCCCTTTACCAAATTTGTAGCATACAGAGCCCCTTCCCATGCTCCAATCAACAGTGGAATCGTGTATTTCTGTATTTTTAAGTTTTACGCAGCAGTCCAAGCATGTACACAGCCCCCTGTTTGTGCCAGGTGTTCTTGTCACGGGATGTGCACGGCCTTGATGCCGACCTTGCTGCACGCTTTGCTTTCTTGAACAACGACGATATCTTTTGTTTGGTCTCTGGAACATCTTGATATTATTGCAGGGCTCGGAGACAAACAACAGCCATGAGAACCCTGTCTTTTCCCGCAGCTCAGAGTCCTCTTCTCTACCCACACTCCAGCACCCACTGCCCACACACACACTTCAACTACAGCTTTCAGGCTCGGGAAGCGTGGTGTTTGTACCAAGGCCTTTTGTTACCAGGTGAGCAGAAAAGCTCCCAGTTGAGAAGTGTCTTTGGTGGTCGGCCCAGCTCCCACACCTTCAGCTTGAGCATACGCTAGTGAATACGTTTCTTTTATCCAGCAGTGGGGCCCCGACCCCCTGAGCTGGCTGAGGGATCCCAACACTGTGCACACAGCTGCTGCTTGGAGAAGAGCTGCAGGTGGAATGGGTCTCCTTGAAGGTGGTGTCCCTGGAGGCCAAGTGTCCTGGCTCGCTGAGGAGCGAGCTGCAGTCAGGGCTTCAGATGCCATGGTAGGTGGGCTTGGTTGGATGAACACAGCTGAACAAGGCATGTGCCCTGTCATGCCGCTTTTCAGGAAAGTAAAGGTACAGTTTGTCCAGGAGATGACCTGGCCAGAACTGATTGTCACTTTTTTGCATCTTATTCTTCTGAAGATGCCTGTGGAAAAAAAGAGAGGGGAAAAAAAGGAAGAGAAAAATTACAGAAGAGAGAATAGCACGCTTTACAGAAAAAAAATTCTGGGCCATTGCACTGCTTCTCTTAGGGCAAAAGTGAGCCTGACAAGAACCAGCTCTCTGTGCTTCCAGGCCTGGGAAGCTCTGCCAGACCTGTGCAGGCCCTATTAGACATGACTGACATGGGAAGTGCAACTTGTGAAGCTCTCTTAAGAGTTGGTACGTTGCCCATCACTGTAGTATCTAAACACCTTAACTGAGATAAACAAAGAAGATTGTGCTCCACTTTGCAATGTTTCTTTCTCTCCAAAACCTTCAGCCATCCAAAGCTCAGCTCTTCAGGATTCTCTTTCTTCCACAAGAATAAACATTCTCGAGAGGATTTCAGACAAGTGCTGGGTCAGTCGGAGGAGAAGTTTTGTCACCTCTGTAGTTCAGAGCATGGAGCTAGTCCCAACTAGTCCGCAAGGCTCCTCCAGGCACCACGAACTGTTCGTGGCACTACTGCAACCCAAGGACTTGGCTAAAACACCGGAGTGGCCGTGTGGCTGAGAAGAGGATCTGCCTCTGCTGCTGCTGGTTGCTCCCTTGCAGCATCCTAACGGTTCACTCCAACACCTCGGTACTGCCTCCGACACCGTGGGGACAGAGCGCAGAGGGGTGATACACAGCAGGGCAGCAGGAGGGGACTGATCTTAAGCTCTCTTTGAACAAACCTGTCTTTCACCTCCTTGGCCTGGCTTCCAGATGCAGGTGATGAAGCATCATCAGCAAGTCCTGCTCCATAGTATCCTCCGGGCTGCCTGATCTTCCTTACGTCTTCTCCCTCCTTGATGATCCTGTCTCCTGGATGCAGTAGGGCTGTTGGCAAAGTGCACAGAGAGTACAGTCGTGCCTTGCTCTGGGACCAGGAGCACCGGTTCAGCCCAGACCTCTCTTCCTGGCTATGGATCCACTGATCCTGACCATGATCTGACTTCCCAGCTTGGCCTCGGACCTGTCCCATCACCACAAACTTGCCTCGTGAGCTGCACTTTCAGTTGAACCTGGCTGCCATCCCAGGGGCAGTGGGAGAGGGCCCTGGCTGGTCTGCAGCACCCTTTGGCATCTCAGCCCTGCTCTGGCCCTGCTGGTAACTGCTGATCCTAACTGGCAGCACCTGCCATGGCCCTCCAAGGGCTGCAAATGTGCTCCATCGGCAGCACCCCCTGGCATCACTCATGCTTCTGGGCTTGGGAAGAAGCATGAACTTGTCAGATTTAGGACATTCACATCAGGCCCCTGGTCTTTGCTTTACCTCTCTGCAGCGTTCGCTCGGTGATGTGAATGTCGCGGTCTTTGCACAGCTTGGTGCAATTCAGGTAGCTTGTGACGGTTTTCCTCCGATATTGGTTCACCAGTTCTCCCAAGTCAGCTTCTAGAGTTGATGGCAGGCAGTGCTCATCAATGGGGCCATCCCCAGATCTCACCATCCGGCACTTTTCTTTCTGTTCTATCGGGCTGTCTTTGTTCTGCAAGTAAAGGGCAGGTCCCAGTTAGCATTCAGTGGGGCCCTGGAGTTGCTGCATTCCCTTTGGAGAAGCTACGGGCAGAGATTCATCTCAAAAGTGTGTGCAAAAGGGAGTCGGCACCCTGCAGTGGGACCACAGGGACAGGCACTCCTCTGGCAGTTCAGTTCCCATCCAGAGCTGGGTCCTCAGACACATACTCCCTGGAAGGCTTAGCAGATGAAGAAGTCTTGCAGTCACCTTCTCATTTCTGATTATGTCAGGGAGCCAGAGGCTCTCCCCAGTGCTGATGATTGTGGGGCAGCACGTTGGCAAGAGGAGGTAGCCCTGGATTCTGTCAGAGTTAATCCAACCCCAGATGATCCAAAGAAGACATCTGGGAGTGAGTGAATGAGTGAGTCACTGTCACATTTCCATTGGACCATCTTGCACTGAGCCTCACAACTGAACAGGACAAAGTGCTTATCAGCACCTTAGGGGACAAATCACAGTCTGGTGGACAGGTTGACTAGATGATCAGAAGACAACTCTGTCCTCAGACACAAAAACTGCTTCAACTTCTCCTCCTTCTTGCCAGTTACCCAGAAAAAGTGTTTATCTCGCCAGAGTGTTCAGAAGGCAAACAATTTGTTTGAGATGGCTTGTAGCACCTCAGCGGCAAGGCACCATGTGGCCAAGGGACTACTGAGAGGCTCACAATAACCCCTTGCCCTTTTCTTTGCTGCTGCACCATCCTCTGAACCACCCCACGTTCACCAAGGCACGCCGGTGCGCTTGTTCTCCCGCCACGCACAGAGTACCTTCTCCCACCGTCTCCTCTCTCTAAAGAGTTTTCCGGCCTCTTCCATTTCATCATAGCTCAGATGTCTTCGTTCTGGCTCAGTGTTGACTGGCGGAACTTCCAAGTGTGTTAACTTTCTTTTGGGTTTGGTAGAAGCATCGGGCTTTGTCTCGTCTGTGTCCCCAGCAGAAGGGGAACAAGTGGCAGTTTTGCAAGTGGCTTTCTGGAACTGAGCTGCTACACCTAAAATAGATTAAAAATCAAACAACAACAACAAAAAAAAAAACAAACAGAGAAGCCATGTTAGAGCGTGGCAGAAAGGAACATCTGATCCACGTTTAAGACAACATTTGGTGTGTTGTGCTGACTGGAACTCTCTGCAGAGGTTACTAAAGGATAAGCTCTTCTAAAATGGTGTTTTCCAGGTGCCACCAACAGCTGGAGAAATGATCTGCCTAGGATGAGCTGGATGATGAATGGTAACAAACAAAATCCAGCACAGGATGTTAAATGGCAGGGTTCAGACTTTGATCCCAACCTGAAAGACTGGAAAACCTGTCTCCTGCAATTGGGCTGACAACGGTATTGCACAACCCCTAGATCCTTCAGCTTTTCCCGAGAAGTCTCTTGGCCACTCTGCTCTAGGACACTGGTCTCAAGAAGCCATATTCTGGACCCAATTTGGCATTTCCTGTCTGTATAGAGGTGCCTTCCCAACCCAGTGCTCTCCTCTCACCTGTTTTGGTGTCTTGGGATTGTCCTTTCCTCATTTCCAGCCACTGCTTTTGACACTCAGCCAGATCTTTGAGGGTTGTAAAATTCCCTGGTTTTGAGGAAGTCAAGAAGATGACCATGTCCTCCAGATCCTTGTCGCTGATGGGAACTTTAGTCTGGCAACCAAAACAGAAAATGACAGTAGGATCATCAAAAGATCAAGGCTTGCCCCAGAGTGGGAGGGATGAGCTTTGCTCTTTTTCCAGATGCTTTGTAGGGAAGCATGGCACAAAGGCAACCTGCTGAGGTTTCCATCCACAACTTGACTGCTCTTCTGCTGCCCCCTGCAGACCTCTTGGCTTCTACTGTGCCAACCTTCCCAGCCCTCCGTGTTTGAGGAAGATATTTTGGCTCGGTCTAGAATATCAGTTAACACCTGAACTGCTGAATGCTAATAAACCTGAACGTGCTCTTCACACCTCTGTAACGCTACGGGCTGTGGAAAGTGAGGCCCAGTGCGAGCATGTACTGAAAGGCAGTGCAGTGGGGAGATGTAGGAGCTTGGCTGGGGACAAACCAACAATCAACACTGGGAAGCTCAATGCCAGTTCAGGGTCTACAGCAAGATCCCGACAGCCACATTACTGAGCAGTGGCTGTCTTCCAGGTCTGCGAGGCAATAGGTTTCTTCACTCCCTCCTGGGACTCGCTCTAGGTGCATCTGTGCAGCTTTCCCTTCCCTTTGCCCTTCGGCTTTTCACAGGCTGTGGGAGCCATTCTCTGAGAGTAAAGCGAGCGAAAACGCTCCTTGCTGAAACTCTTCCATTTGCTCTTTCCATGCAGGAAAATAGGGCAGAGTTGCAGCAGCTCATTACTTTTCTGTTCCCTATGTACCTCCTTGATGACTTTAATGAAGTCTTTTCTCTTGATCTTCTTCCCGTCCATACCAGCCTTCTTGAATATGTTCACCATCCTCAGCTGCTTTTTGTGCAGGAGGTTATGCAGTGTGACAAGAGCCTGGGGGTATGGTGCACAAACAAGGGGAATGGCACGCTTCTTCTGGGGCTGGCTGCTCTTTGGTGGTGAGTGCTGAAAAGGATCAGAAAATACCCTGAGATCACCATTATCCAGGATCACCATGTCCCTCACGTGGCATCAGCTGGGGTAAAGCAGCATCATTCTACTGATTTGACAGCAGAGGCTATTTCCCATCCACCCCGTGCTTACTTCCAGGCTGTCGGTCACGGCTGATTTGGCAGCAGCCCTCCTGTCTGCTCTGCGTGACTTAATTCTTTCCCAGCATCTTTCTTCTTGACTGCTGAGGGTAAATTTTTTTTTCAGCCAAGTTTCAATGTCTCCTAAGCTTTCCAGCTCGGTTCGAAACTGCCTCCTCGCCTGGATCCAAACCTCTGTCGTTTCTAGACCCTCTCCTGTATCGGAGGTGGTCTCTGGGGGCATGAGGGTCTCTTCCGTCTCCTGGGGCAGCTGAAAGACAAACAAATGACAGAAATCTGTGGCCCGAGGTGGTTTCAAAAAGAGAGAAGTTGGTCTTGCCACAAGTGGAGCAAAAATAATGTGACATCTGGATTTGGATGGCCCACACCTACTTGCTTTCAGTTTAAAGGCAAAAGTTGGATACATGTTTCTCCAATGGCGTCATTGGAAACTATGCTCCAAGCCCATTTCTGGCTTCTCTAAGCCCACTTCTTCTCCATCAAGGAGCAGCTGATACAACATTGGCCGTTTTGCTTAAGAAAAATAGTCGGAGTGCTCTTCATGCTGCTTGGAGAGACAGCTCTCCCCCTCCTCACCTCCGGCTGGAGCTGGCCTAAGCCATGTGTCTGGGAGAGATCCTGCTTGAGCTCCAGAGCCGGTGGCTGAACAGAGGTGGCTGCCTTTCCAGGGACGGGGCAGGCCCACCGATGCCCTCACCCTTCTTGTTTTGCCCCTTGGCCTCTACCAGCAATTCCTCCCTCACAGCAGGGAGCAGGCAAGAACGAAAACCACAGCCACCTGCCCTGCTCGTTGCAGAGAGTGATGCTGCTGGGGCTTGGAGACCTTCCCAACCCAGTGCGATCCCAACCAGAAGGCGGCTGCTCTGTTGGAACTCCCATACCTGGGCCCTCTGCATCCTGCTGTGTTCTCTCCCAGCTTGCTCTGGAGGCGATTTGGGAAAGATGATCCATCCTGCTTTTCTGTTCCACTCTTTCTCCCCCATTTTCGCCATGGATGCCTCCAGTTTTCTTCTACTGTTCAGCCCAAATACAGACTACAGGAACCCAGAAATACAATAGCAGCAGTTAGTCTCATCAGTATTTTTTTTTTAAATAATGCTCTTCTCTTTTTTTTTTTTTTAAATAATGCTCTTCTCTTTCTCATCTTCCCTTTCTTCTAGTTCTTCCAGACAGACAGTTCTTACAGATGCAGAAAGCCCTTCTGTTAATGACCAATGAACTAAGGCATCAAAGAGCTACTTTTGGAAAAGGGCTATTAGAGATGACCAGCACCCAACACAGGTAACTGAATGGGAAAATGAGCCACAGGAAAAGCTGCACTCAGAATCGTTATCTGCGTCTTTTTTTATGTACCTATTTCTCCTGATATATCCCCACTTGATTTCCTACAATCCAGTGACACAACAATTGCCTCGATCCACAGGACATACCTCTCTTTTCTGCCTGTACTTTTCCGAAGGCGGCAATGCCGATTCGGGGCTCTCAAGCGGAGTGTCTTTGTGCTGCCGTCCTTCTGCGCCTGCAGGTTTTGGCAACGGTCTGAAAATGCACACCGGGGTGAGTCAGGACGAGTTTCGTCTCTATCCTGTGCTCACAGTGCTCACCTGCTTCGGCAGCAGAGCGAGCTGTCTTCACCTAATTGTCTTCCCCTCCACAGAGACAGGGATGACCCCGAGCTGTAACACTCAGGTGTGCCACCAAGGAACTCAAGGAGATGAGCGTTTTCCGTAAGGATGGCCCTGGGACACGCAGCCTGATGTTGCCATCTTGATAGAACAATGAGAGGATTTGCATCCTGTGCAAAGACAGGCACCTGGAGATACTGGTATTCCCCTTCTGGACATTACACCCACCACTGCAAAGCAGTCCCAAATACTGTGGGACTTCCCACCCAGCCAGGAAACGCGCTGTGTGGTGACACGTGTTAACAGCCCTTCTGAGTTAATACAACACTGGGTCCAAAGGAGACAGGGGAAGAGGTTTCTCAGAGAGCGTGCGCAGTCTCGGTCTGTGAAGGCTTTGAAGACAAGACTGGATAGAGTCCCGAGCAACCTGGTCTGACCTCAGCTCATAGCTGGCTCTGCTTGGAGCAGCTGGTTGGACTAGGACTTCCCGAGAGCCCTTTCAACCTCCGTTATCGTACGAGCCTATAAAACATCCCGCACAAGTACTGGAGCACAAGGCCACTCCAATCGAATCATTTCAGTGTCTCACCTGCCAGGAGGCCCGTCTCTTTCTGTTTTCTCCTGTGCTTCTTTCTCCATCTCAGCTCTGGCTAAGTAGTCTGGAGACACACCGTTTCGCAGAAGGCGTAACATGTGACGAACAGCCGCTGCAGGCATGAAAGGAGAAAACCTCTTAGAACGGGCAGGAGGAGGCACAGATCTGCTCTGCAATGTCAGAAGCTGTCTGAGGCCTCACTGGGATTCCTTCCTAGATCTGTTTTCTTGGAGGAAGATCTTCCTGACACCAGCTCTTGATCCTGTTCAACCCTCGATCCTGATCCTGTTCAAGCCACATTATTCTCTTTGGTCTGACCATCACTCTCTTTGGTCTGAGTTTGCTCCTGCTGTGGCTAGTCCTTCCTCTGCACAGTGGCTTTTGGTGGGAGACAGAACTTGATGCTTAACAATCTCTTTTGGGGTAACAATTTCTTGGCATTGCGTACGTGTTTGGTATACAAAAACTTGTGTACAATATCATGGCACATTCAACTCAAACATGTTATAGCTCTGCTGTTCCTGAGGAATTTAGGTCGAGGAGCTGGACTTCCCAGCTTTAAGAGAGAAGTGAAGTCTCGGCACAACTTAGCAACCTTTGCGTGGTTGTTCATCAAATCACGCCGCAGTGATTCGAGAGATACGCCAACCCCCCACTCTCCCACGACTCGAGGCAGAGTTTGTGATTCGCAGTGCCGATGGGCTTCCCCAAACAGTTACTCCCTCCTGCACAAACAAACTCCTAACATGGAAGAGGTACACTCCAGGGCATGGAGTGCAGGGGCAAAACATCCTTTAGCACCATCAACTGCAGACGGTGGTGCTGAGTCCTCCCAGGATCTTGCTCCAAAATGAGTCCCTTGAGATTAAGCACAAGGGGTAAATAGAGGCACGGAGAGTGTCTCTACTGTCCCAGGCATGTGTTGTAGCCCGAGCCCTAAACACCCATTAGTAATGAGGACAGGCGAATGCACGGACCTCTGCCAAGAACCAGTCACTAACATTACCTCTTATTCCTGTGCTGCTCGAAGCAGTCTGGAATTCTGTACACCTCTGTTCAGCTGTGAGAGAGGCTCTTCGAGGCACTGCCCTAAACTCAAACCTGGAAATAGGAAGAAGGCACCGTTCTGAGAAAAGGGCTGCTTTGCCAGATGAGGGTCAAGGTATCTTTTCAGAGTCAACCTCACGTCCTAGGCCATTAAAGGAACCACTGAGCAGTGCTGGCCTCAGGAACAGCTCAGCAGCCTCTCGCTAGACAGAGGTTCTGTTTTCTTGTCTCAGTCCTCCTGTGCCATCTTGACCCAGGGAGGTGTTTCAGAGATCCTTTGATTCATGTGAGTTTCACAGAAGGCACGGAAATGTCACAGACAGAGGACTTGTATGCATCTGGTCTTTGATCCACCCTCTAAGAGAAGCTTTCCATGTTATATTCAAAACAATGGAAATATTAGGATCTTATCTCTGTTTGGGCAGTCTCTACCAATGGAAAGAGAATGAGCAGATGCAACGTTATGAGGGTTGCCTAAATTCCTCTACCTAGCAAACCAGTTCCCTCTGAGGGGAGTAATGGTCAAATGCAAACCACAATCAGGAACGGAGGATGCATAACTCCAGAGTCAGCAAAAGCAAGAATGAAATTACCTGCAAACCAGTAATTTGACAGAGCACTACCAAACCTCAGCTGAGCACATCTGCGCTTGGTCAGACAGGGCTGCAGAAACAAATATACTCACTGTGGAAACTGGTAGACGTGGCCAAGACGGCTCGGAGAGAAGGTGACTTCTTTGTCTGATGTGACCTGTTTCTTCTGCAACAGGGACAGAAACATCTGACATGAGGCCAGGGAAATGAACCCAAAGCTCACAATGGCCTCTCCATAGCTCCAAGAATCAGCGGCCTCTCAGCAAACTTCTGGCCAAGTGCCTCGGTCCCTCGCTAAAACAAGCTGCACAGCACGTCACCTGCGAGGGCGAGGAATGTCGCCAGCCTTTTTGCAAGGACAAGAGTTGACGGCGTCAAGCACGAGAGTCCTTGTTTACCAGGGAAGAAGTTAACGGAGGTAAGCACAAGGCAAGGCCCATTACGAGCCTGGGTCCCTGGCTGCTGGTTGCAGTGAGGTGGCTTGCTTTAACTATTGCTGAACTAAGAGCAAATGGTTCCAAGGTTTTATCCCCAGAGTCCTTCAAAGAGCCTGCACGCCTCTGCAGCGCAGAAGAACCCAGCCACCAGCTCCTTCTCTTCCATCGGACCAGGAGAGCTACACCAGCAGCGTGCCAGCAGCTATGAGGGGCTGGTTCTCTGCGCCTCAGAATCACGTCTAGAGTGTGGGGTGAACACCATCACCTCTGCCATCGCTTTGGCCTTTTTCCTATCCATGGCAAGGCCCTGCCAGGGCTTTCCCTTGCCCAGCAGAAGTAGTACTGCGAACCTTCCCAGCACTCTTGAACCACAGCAAATAAAAGAAACTACAGAAAGCTTTCACTGCTACAGATCACGTCTAGCCAAGTGACCCAGCAGGTCAGAGGTGGTGAGCAGGGCCCAGTTCCCCAGTCCTTTGATGGGTTGTCAAACTCACTCTAAGTAGCACTGGAAAAACAAACTTACAGTGAGCAACTTGTCTACCACGTATGTAGACTTGTTGAGGCTTAGTAAAAAGTCTTCACAAAATGCCATTGTCACTTCTGTTCCCCGGATAGCAAGAGTGCCCAAATCCTTTAAAATGAAGTCCGTGTCTTCTCTGTTTGTTAGGATGAAGTAGAAGAAGTTCAGAGTCTCCTGCATACAGTTCTGCACAACTTCCTCAGGATAGGGGACATCTGAGCAGATCTTCTTGTAGCTCACTGACACTTTCTTAATCTCGTCTGGAAAAGAGGAGGAAGACTGTAACTCAGATGATAGGAGTTGAGCAGACTCAAAATCAAGGTCAAATCACCCCCTTAACAGGTGTGCCAAGCCACTGCCATGATTCCCTAAGCACAAACAGGAACCAAGGACTTCGGCTATCAGTGTCCACGCTGCGCAGGAGGGCAGGACAAGGTGGAAAGAAAAGGGCTGGTTCCTGTGGGAAGAGCGGAGGGTGCCGGCCGTGGCGCTGAGCACACACAAAAGTGCCCTGTGGGCATTTGCCTCAACAAGGTCTGCTGCGGTGCAAGAACAAAGCATCAGCATCATCTCAATGGCTTTATGGTGAACAGTCCCAACAAACGACCACCAGCCAGCGGGCATCCTACAAATCACTAAACGTGGCTGGCACAAAGCCAGTTGCTAAAGCAGATCATGGAGAGACAGTTTAACTTTGTACCGCCTGAATAAAAACTAGTCCAAGAGAAACGGCCCCTTTCTAGGCATGGCTCCTCAGCGGGCTGTTTGTTTCATCCCACGGAGGCTGTTCTCGGGGCTTTCCGGAGGCCTCTGATGTGTCCGTCACCGCTTCTAAACAGCAACCAGCATCAATCCCAAATACATGGACGTAGGGGAAAACAAAGAATTTCACTGCTCTTCTTACCAGGAACAGGGACAGAAGCATGTTGCAGCTCACGGATCTGTGCAACAGTCCTGGACAGCGAAAACACGGGTCTCTGAAACGTGAGCACCTCGCCGTTTTCAAAAGAGAGCCACCTTTTAATATGAAATGTCCCCAGTCCTTTTACGCAGACAGCCCAAGGCTGGAAAAGAAGAGAAGGGCAAGCGTTTGTAGGTTGACAAGCAGTGAGGACTCAAGCAGGCTTGCAAGGGGGGTGCCTTGTGCCCTGCCAACTCCTGGTGGTTGCACACCTCAACCAGACTTTTATTTCTCTACTTGTATATTGCATAGATATAATATATATATTTTATGTTACTAATTTCTTTTTCATTTTTTAATGTCTCTTAATTTACAGAGAAGCTGGTCTTTGTCACGTTTTGTGGCAAATCTGTAAATCACAATGCAGTTCAAGGAAGAACAACAGCACTTGCTGGCACAGGGCTGCCGGGACCCCTGAAGACCCTCTCTCCCCACAGAGACCACCTCTGATACAGGAGAGAGTGTAGAAACGAGGGGTAGGGCAGGATCCCACCTTTCTCTGCAGAAGCTGTTGCTGAACATGCTGAGACACACTGCTCCAAATTGTAACGACATCTGGAAAGCAAGGGAAAGACACGTCGAGCTCTAATCTCAGCCACCTCACGTCCCATCAGCACATCCGTAGACGAGGAGATGGCAGCTGCAAGTGTGCTTCAACGAGCCTCACAGGATAAATCCATCTGTGACACGCGCCGAATCTTTGGCTAGTCTCAGCCTTCTTCCAACAGGACATCTTTCCCTTCAGAGCCAGATCCTTCAGTGTGACCCACGGCTGAGGGAAACCCGTCCATGGGACTCCCACCACGGCAAGGGAAGGGTGCTGCGCGCACTGGACTCTGCGGGGCTCAGGGTGTCCCTGGGGGCCTCCCACACACAGACAAACCCGCTTCCCTCAACGGACCCAGGCCGTTCATCTTGTCTGCAGCGATGCTCACCAGAGAGCTCCCAAAGGCCTTACCGTTGACGGAAAGCTTCTTGAGGGTGGGAAACGTGATCGTGCTGCAGCCGTCAACCTCGCTGCAGAGCTCGATGTTGGTGATCAGCGCTTCCAGGTTTGTCATCTTTCTTGCTTGAGGTCCGCATGCCAGGCTGCCAGGGGAAGGATCTCGATGTCTCCTGCTGGGAAACGCCCCCTCTCCGATGTCCTCGCCTGTGCTTCACCAAAGAGCTCCTACACTGTCGCCCTGCCTCTCTTTGTCCTCTGCATCCCCAAGATACAGGAGAGACTTCTCACGTCCCCTGGATCCGAGCTCGCCAAGGCCTCGCAGGGAAGCGGAGAGGGTCCGGGGCACAGGGTTCCGAGGAGCAGGGGCTCTGTGACATGGATTGTGACACAGCCGCCGCATCATCCCCACGCCCGCCGACCTGGCTAGGCATGGTCCTGCAGTGAGAAGGGGGCTGCTCCCTAAAACACATCTTGTCTGGCCATGGAAAAGCTCAAGGTTGAAGTGAAGGATTTGCTTGAATCTGCAAAGACTTAAGTTCCTGGTCTGCTTGCATGTACGTAGTAGCCTGTTTGTGCGTACTTGGATAAAGCAAATATGTACATATGTTGGAAACCAGGATGATCATCTCGAATTGTCAGGCTGTCCTTAACAGAGAAACATCCTGGAAAAATACGTATTGATGCAATCATGCACTAGACTCTGCTTCCTTTAAGATAACGAGTAGCGGAGGAGCCTTAAAACATACGTCAAGAGGAGGACACGCATCCTTGTAAATCCAAACTATCGGGCAAGTGTTAATGACTCTGCCAGCTGCTAATCACTAAAGCAGGAGCCAAAGCAAGGACTTCAAAGACTGGTAAGGAAA